GAAGAGAGTTTCCTCCAATTTCAGATTAAAATTCGAACTTTTGCATCACTAGGGGGAAGGGTTGGGGGAGGACGGAAGGCCCATCGCCACCCTTTCCCCCTCAATCCACCTAATGTAAAATTGTAACAGAGTCTAGTCATCGAATATAAAATACAGATAAGGGATTTAAACTTGATTTTTTTGCTCATAAAATGAACAAAAATAAGGAAGTTAGAGGTGAAACAAACGCACTTTGATGTAACGATGGCCAATCAATTCATTGAGGAGCTCAAATGCGGCAAGACGAACGCGATCATTTGGATCATTGATCCCTCTTAAATTGAATAAACATTTTAGCGCACGATCACATGCATTCAGCGCACTGGCACAATGCAAAATACCACGCATCCCTTCGTAAACGGCCAAACGTACGCTTACAACACTGTCCTTCGATAACACATCGATTATCTAAAAAGAAAAAAAAAACTAAACATTGGAATGTTTGGTTTCTTCGATTATCCGAAAATGAACGAATTGTCCAGAAATATCCAGAAAACGAAGTCCGGAAAAAAACAACGATAAAGAAGTGTAGCCAAAAAAAGCACTGAAATAAGGGTATTATTGTTTTGTATCTTGTTGTTAGCATAATGAAGAATTCTGTGTTCTAACCAGGAAAACCTTGAAAAATGCAATTTCCCAAGATATACAGTACGATTTTTAAGGGAATACGCCAAATCTGAAGACAGCGCGCATGGCGAGAAGCAAAACCGCGAAAAAATCCACAGCCCACGTGCATGAAAAGCACACATGCCTGGTGGCTGGATTCGATAACTTTGAGTTGAGCATGAGCGGGAACATTTCCTTAAAATTTCAGCCTCCTGGCATTCCTGGTTCTCAAATTAGCGATTTTCGCGCCAGGAACCACGCAAGTTCACGATTTTCAGACAGCACACCAATTTGAAGACAGCGTAAACCACAAAAAAATCAGCTGGGTCAAAGTTCCCAAATGAACCAGCCCAACATATACCTGCGTGAAAGATCGCTTGATAAAATCCACTGGGAATGTATCGAAATGTGTGCTCAGAATGAACAGCGTTCGACGACATGCATCCGCTCGTATTGCATAATTCTCATCCCTCAGCAAATCAAGTATCAGACCTTGTTGTACAATAACATGCTCTGCATTTTCCTAAATAAAAATTTTGTCAAATTTTTTGCGTCGAATAACTGCGAACTGTTTGATTGTGCATATAAAACAGTGGGATCGTTAATAGTATGAATAGTTATTGCAGTTTGATATGTGCACTTACAGGTGGAAATCTTGCTTCTCACTTCTTCCATGTTTTGAATGGAGATCCAGAGGCCCAGTCAGTGGATTTACAGATGAAGTCTTATGAGATTTCAGCTTTTTCGCATCGCTGATTATCGCAAAATGGGATTTTGTGTATTTGTACATGTGGTTTGAGGTACTTGAAGGCTCATTTTATGTTTGTGGGTCCGCAAACAGACAGTAATAATTCACGTAAAAGTACAACTTTCTCCTCATACTCATTCTCGAATTGGAAGCGTGCCAACAATTTTTCAAAATTAAATTTGATATGTCCTAAGCAAGATATCGGAACAGATGAAAGTTAGCCTTATGCCCCTGGTTTTGCAGAGTATCAGGAAACATTTTTGTCAGATCAAAACTTCCTTGCCTGTCAAAACTTCCTCGACAAAATGCTAACAATAATGTAAATTGAGCTTTGACGCGTCCAAAAAAAAGCGGCACAAGCACAGGTGGAAACTTATTTTAAACCTGCGAGTCCGAACAAGGAGAGCGGAAAATATTCTAATAAAATTAAAACTCGCTACTATCTGTTTAACGAGTTGGCACCGTGCCAATAATGCCCCCACTTGGAATTAAACTTATCCACGCGTGTATGTGTTAGCTGAATTTAAAATCTTTAGCCCATATAATTTTTACATCCGGGGAAAACCGTTATCTTTCTAGCTTTCCTGGTTGCTAAACTGGAAATGGGTGACAAAATCTGAACAAACACACAAACATACCCGCATGCAGTCTTTTGCTAACATACTTTTTTGCGTGCCAAAATGATAACGAGTGTGCGCGGACCTAAAGACTTTAAATTCAGCTATCATATACACGTGTGGATAAATTAGATTTCAAAATGGGAGCATTATTGGCACCGTGCCAACCCGTTGTTTGCGAGTTTATTTTTTTCATATCACACTACATTTCTTTAATTTACGTGAGTACGACACCTGTCAAACGTGAGCTTTCCATATTTGTCTTAATTCAGCAGCCAATCTGGATGCTAAACTTCTTATAATATTGCTGGAGCAATATTATAAGAATATTATACCTACAATATTATACCTACTTTAACAATTCCTTACATGCTTTTCATCGTTTTTTCTCACATTTTCTCTTTAACCCTAAATAAGCTATGACAAAATGCGGCCTTTAGGAGGTCGAATTATAACCTTAAAAGAAGCGGACAGTCCACAAAAAATCAAAATGTGGAACAACCGGAGTCAGAAAGTTAAAACGAAGGGTGGGAAAAGATTGTTAAAACAATTTGCAATCGTTGGTAGGCCGAACCATAATCCCTGAAATAAGCGGGCGATCCGAAGCATGGAAAATGTGGAACGGCCACAGTTCGAAAATTTTAAACTAGGATGAGGCTAAATCAATAAATTATGATAAAAAAGGTAGTAGTAATCTATATTAACAAAAGATGTGGAGCATAAAACGTGCATAGTTTTTTAGTTCCTTGTGCTTCAATTCAAAATCGGCAAGTGAATTTTCTTTATAAATAAAAATAACTAATATTTTCGAAAAAAAAACGTACGATATCGTCCTCGCAGACGAATGGATAGAACGGCAGGAAAAGACAGCATGCATTGTATCGCACCGAATCGTTTGCAGCCTGAATTTCAAGGAGATTCTACAGCAAATTCAAGCCGCCTTCAAAGTACCCGTTTAACAAAAAATTCTACGTAGAAAAACTATTTTTACAAAAAATTTTTATCAGTACGGCAGCACAGAAAGGCACCAGCTGTAAGGTAAGACCGGTTTTTAGATTTCCGGATGTTGGGCTAGTATTTGAACGAAGCAATAAGTACCTTTAAGCAGCGCCACAGATTTGGCTCAAATGTACGAAATATCATTTCGTCGATCTGCTTGTTTCTCGCCTTGTTGAGCGGCTCGAGCATCTGCAACCCAAACAATTATTTCCAATAGCCGTTACACTAAAATACCCGTTCTGTTATTCCAACTTCCTTAATTTACTCCTTCCTTAGTATGCCACAGTTGAACGTTTTTTCATATTTTTCCACAAAAAAAAACTGGGAGAAATAAAAGAAACGAGAGCAAAGCCTAGAAAATAAGAAATAATAAATCCAAGCACATTTTTATTTTTTTCCAAACATGCTAAATTTCATTACTTATAACTTTAATTATTAATATAACTATATAAATCAAAATTCTTGGCAAAAAGTGTGAAAAATACGGTCCACTAAGGTCAAGAATTAACAAATACAGCAGAAGAACGAACGCCATGCACCACAAAATTTAAAGCATCTACGCAAAGGCAGAAATTGGACAGTCATTGTTACCCCATCAATTTCATCATTTTTTCTACAAATTTAGCGTTATCCTTATAATAATTAAGAAACAAATACAAAGAAAGCTCCTTTCTCATTTAGATATAACAATTTTATGAAAACCCGAGAAAAAAAAAAAAGAACGAAAAAACGAATGCCTAAATCATTAGAAGGATGACTATTAAGTGAAGTAGTTTTGGGGTCATAATAACCGTGCAAAGGTTGTCAATTATACAAATGATGAGAAGTTGCCTTAGGGAGAAGTGTGAGCTGAACAGAATAATAATTCAAATTAAAAGACCTCCTGCCTGATCAAAAACTACGAACGGGCAAGTATGTATGACCAACTACCCCTTTGTTGTCGCGAAAAACCCGTGAAAAGCCGACCAAGAAGGTACCGCAAAAAAAAAGAGAGGAAAAAAGGTGCAACTTGTTTTAAAAGGCAGATATACAGTAGATGTGCTGCTAGGCTGAAACTGAAGCACAGGGGCCAGTGGTGTAGTGGTAACACATTGCGTTTGGAAATGAAGGGGAGTGGTTCGATTCCTTCCCGGTCCAGAACGATTTTTGGAGAAACGGCTCCATTCACGACACTCGTAAAGGATAAGTTCGGTCGGTTCAACACTTGGAATTCAAGAAATAGATTACCGCCATGAAGTTTTTGTTACAGTGCAGATGTTGTAAGGCATAATAGACAACATCCATGAAGACTCTTTCCAGTTGTTCCTGCAATTTGTTATTCTCATCGCCTTCTTTTAGTGTATTCTTCCAAGCCAGCAGCAAAACTTCACCATAGTTTTCACACTGCCCTCTGAAAATCAATTTT